AATGAATGAATGAATGAATGAATGAATGAATGAATGAATGAATGAATGAAATCATTCAAGATCTGGACAAGTAGCCTAGGCCCCACCTAACAAGAATGTAAGTTAGTACTTTAAGGAGCAGGAGGATTACTGTAAGAAGTTCAACTTGCAGTTGCTTGGATGATAACTAAAACAGGCTGCAGTTATACAACTGACAACTGAAGAAGACCTTAACTAATTCTTCAAACATAGACACTAAATCCATGGTCTTTTGCTGGAAAAGAAACAGTGATGTGGGTGGGGATTGGGGTTTTTTCCAATAATTCATCATCCTGGAATTCAACAGCCAAAGTCAACAAGCCTTGCAAAATTCCTGTACTATGGAGAGTATGAAGTGAAAACAGGAAAGGAATCCTTTAGCAGAATTATTTATACTATGTTGGCTTTGAGCAGCTAGGGTTGCAGGGAAGATGGAATTGACTGCAAGGAACTAAAGAACACAAGGGGATACAGAGGTCTTAGCAACATTCCTTTCTAATTCTCTGCATAGCATATTTTAGGTCACGGTTCTCTATCTCCAGCAAGTTCTTGTTAAGGCCAAAACAAGCAAATAAAAGAATCCCTTTCGTGGGTCCTGATCTGAGTCTAAAGTAATGAAGAAAAAAACTAGTTCAATGGAAACCCAGTCTCTCCCTGTGCTTTGCTGGGGGAGGCCAACAATGATCTCAGGCTCAAACATCAAACCAAAAAACTTTCCTTCTGGGGGTGTCAGGTTCCAGTCAATTTGAAAACAACTGTTCACTAAGCTTTGAGCCTTCCCCTGAGGAGGATACCCAATTTTCTTCAAGTCCAAGACTCACCCAGCCACTTCTACTTTCAGCAGTAACTCTGGGTAAGTCAATTATAACTGAATGAGGTTTCTTTGGAACTCACAATGAAAAATGCTCTCTACTTCCAGAGAGAGAATTGATGAACTCTGAGTGCAGACTGAAGCAATTTTTTTCTTACTTTCCTTTTTTTTTCATTTCTGTGTGTGTGTGTGTTTTCTTTTGTAACATGGCTAATATCAAAATATATTTTACGTGAGGAGCAGAGGAAGGGAGAGAATTTGGAACTCAAATTTTTTTCAATGAATGTTTACATGTATATATTAAAATAAATATACATAAATATATTACATATTACACATATATGTTTCATTAACTTAATTAATTAAACAACATACATATTAAATATATATATATATATATATTTTTAAAGAACTCCTTTGGAGAAGCTCCCAGGGCTGTTGTTCAAAAAATACCTTCCACCATAGGCCAGAACAGAAAACCTTTATGGGTAGAGTTGGTCAAGATAATAATTAGGTATTTCAGGAGAGCTGCCTTTCTACAAATGAAGATATTTAAGAAGCCATCCACCCCAGAACTTTATCCTCTGACAAATGCTATTTATGGTAAAACAGAAACATTTTTCAAAAATCTGTAAGGATAACAAGATACTAAGCAGGAGCAGAAAATTGATTACTCTCAATTAGCTGTTCAGTAGTGATGACTTTTATGAACAGCTGCTCCACCTAGTTTCCAGTTTGTTTTGGGGAGGAGACAGGATTTTCTGCCATTGTTCAATCAGGTAATAGTAGTTACTAAAGGTTTTAGGTATTTTTGCTTTGTTTATTTACCTTATCATGGCCGATTCTTGGCATCTCCCTCTTACCCTCCCAAATAAGAGCTACCAACAAATGGTCCTTGAGATCCCTAAACACAGAAAGTTCTGTATGGTGTATACAATAAACTTCAGAAATTTGAGGTAATTTTTAAAAATAATTTAAGCAAATTAAAATTATTGTATTTGATGATTTTTATTGTTTTTAGTATTTTGTGACATCTTGGGATAAATAATGAGATTTACTTAGTCCTTTAAGGTTCACAAGCTTTCCTCATAATCCTGGGGATTATTTTAGCTGAACCTTCCACCTCCCTAGTCTTTTGATATCTCATCCCCTCTTCCCCACATACTCTTTAATCTAATGACACTGCCTTCTGCCTTTTCCATGAACAAGACACTCCATCTTTCTGCTCCAGATACTTTCTCTGGCTATCTCCCATGTCTAGAATGCTCTCCCACCTCATCTCTACCTCGTTGTTTCCCTGGAGGCTTATCAGTCTCAACTCTAATCCCACCATCTACAGAAAGCTTTCCCAATCTCTCTTGATTTCCTATTTAGTATATATATATAGCTTGTCTACACATATGTATTTGCTTACTGTCTTCCCCATTAAATTGTGAGCTCCTCGAAGGCAGGCATATTTTTTGTCTTTCTTTGTATCCCTAGTGCTTAGCACAGTGCTAGCACATAGTAGGTATTTAATAAATAACTATTACTGAGTTTCAAAATAAAGCGAAGTAATATTTTTAAAGCACTTTATAAACCTTAAAGCACTACACAAGTGCTAACTATTATTACAAGTATTATTATCCCCATTTTATAGATAAAGGAATAGACAAAGGCTGAAAGAGGTTAAGTGACTTGCCCAAGGTCAGAACTAGAAGTCAAAATACAGGTCTCTCTTAACTCCAAATTCAGTTTTCTTTCCACTTGATCACAATGTTCCTTTCCTATGATGAAGTGAAAAGGTCACAGATTCTCCAAGTTGGGAGAGACCTCATAGGTCATTTCTTTCAGCCTGAACTAGAATTCTCTCTAGAATATCCCTGATACATGTTCATTTAAGCTGAATGCTAAAGATCTTCAGGAATGGGGAACCTTCTTGGGAAACTCCATTCCATGCTCAGCTCCAGTTACTAGGAAGCTTGTCCTTATATTTAATCTAAATCTTGTTGTTCAGTCATTTCAGTCATGTCTGACTCTCTGTAACCCCATTTGGGGTTTTCTTGGCAAAGATACTGAAGTGGTTTGCCATTTCCTTCTCCAGCTCATTTTACAGATGAAGTAACTGAGGCAAACAGGTTAAATGACTGGCCCAGGGCCACTCAGCTAGTAAGTGTCTGAGTTTGAACTCATGAAGATGAGTCTTTCTGACTCCAGGCCTGGCACTCTATCCACTACGCTAAATCTACCATTTTTCTTCCACTCATCTTTATTGACAGCTATGATATTCTTACTAAGTGTTCTCCTCTCCAAGCTAAATACCCCTTGTTCCTTCAATTAATCTTATTGCAGGGTCTCTGGTGCCCTCACCATCCTGGTCACCATCCTCAGAGGTACTCTAGTTTGGCAATGCCTTTCCTACAGTGTGGCACCCAGAACCCAACATAATGGTTCAGATACAGTATGACCAGAGCCAAGTACAAAGGGATTACCACCGCCTTCATCCTGGAAATGTGGCTGTTAAGGCAGCCTAAGATCACATTGACTTTTTTTGCTATTATGTTACATTGTTTACCTACAGACCAACAGGTGAGAACACAGAATCGCAGTTTTAGAGCTGGAGTCATCTTAAAGATCATAAGGCTGCAGGTTTGAGCTCCTTATCTGCCAGAACACAGGTTCCATTTAACAGCTATTGATCTAATCTAAGACAGCTTTGAAAATACACATACACACACACACACACACACACACACACACACACACACACGAAAAATCAAAGCGATTTACTTACTGATTCCTTGAAAGAGTTCCTCAATGTTAATAGCACATTTTGCACTGGTTTCAACTACAACTGCACCTATGGATTCAGCATATTCCTTAGCATCCTTCATAGGAACCTCCCTGGAAAAGAGGTAAAAAACATAGCAATAATTTGTAAAGAACTTAGTATTTAGGAAAACAACTCTCATCCCATCCAATCTCAGTGTGATAGAAGTAGCTTCTCCATTCATTCAGCAAGTATAGATGTACAATGGCAAGTGCTGAAATGGATAAAAAAGAAATCAAAGACCTGGTCCCTGACCTCTGGAAGATTCTAGTAGAGTCTAGTTCCTACCACTTTGCTTAGCACATAGCAGGCACTTAAAATGCTTATTGGGTGATTGGAGGGAAAAGATAAATATACAGCATTATTGCTATTTCTCAATTTCCTCTGGAGGACAGCATTCCTAAACAGATAAACTAGAGCATATACTTATGCAAAGAATGTGTCTGTGGGAAATTTTTGTTGTTGTTGTTGTTCACTCTTTTTCAGTTGTGTCCAATTCTTTGTGACCTCATTTGGGTTTTTCTTGGCAAAGATATTGCAGTGGTTTGCAGGGTCTTGAAGAGTCAGACATATCTGAACAACAACAAATTATATGAAATTAAAGGGAGGAAATATGTGAAAAGAGTTATCTGGTCACACTCCTCTGGGTGAGGTTTTGTTTGATAATGCCCTTCCTAAAATGTGGCACCTAGAACAGAATATAATGAATCACCAACCATTTATTAAGCATTTTCTACCATTCAGGCACTGTGCTAGGCACTGGTGATACAAAGAAAAAAGAGAAATAGTCCCTGCCCTCAAAGAGCTTGCCTTCCATTTGGGGAGGACAGGGAAACATCTTCATGTATAAGAAATATAAACAAAAAAATAGAAAACAACTTGGGGAAGGGATCAGTAGCTTCAGGAAGATAGGAAAGGGTTTTTTTGGTTTGGATTTTTTTTTTTGCAGAAAGTAGCATGTGAGCTGAGTTTTACATGAATAGGAGATTCTAAGAGATGTAGGTAAGGAAGGAGAGCATTCTAGACTTGGGAGACAGCCCGCGAAAAGGTACAGAAACAGGAGATGGGGTATTGTGTGAGAGAAGAAGCAAGGAGGCAGTTTGGTTAGTTTGCAGAGTTTAGAAAAGCGAATGAGGTATAAAAAAGATTAAAAATATAGGTTGGAAATGTGTTGTGAAGACCTTTGAAAGCCAAAGAGAGGAGTTTGGCTTCACAAAACCTTGCATAGTTATTAAGGAAACTTAAAACTTCTGAATAATTTGTGTTATCTAAAAATGGAATAAGGAGCTTTCTGAGGTAGTAGGTGCCTACTATATGAGACACTGTGCTGGGTGCTATGGTTACAAAGATGTTTGGGAGACAAACTTTGTCTTCAAAATGCTTAGAGTCTAACAGGGGAAAAGACATGCATGCAAAAAATCACAATGTGAAAGAAAATGTGGTAACTATGAAGAAAAAAGGCCTTGGCAGATGGGAATGATAAATTTCAACTGGAAATGTGTTGTGATCAGGGAAGGGTTCATGGAGGAGATGGCACCCGAGTTGGACTTTGGAGAAAAGGAGAGATTCCAACAGATGGACCTGATGAGGGCTATGGAAGAGAATGCTATAAAGAAATGAGGGCCGGGGAGGCATAAGCAAAGGTGTAGAGTCAGAACAGAAAAGGAAAAGGACAAGAGTCAGAGAATAGCCAAGTGAAGATGGAACATGGGGCATGGGAAGGGAGTTAAAATGATACAAGGCTGGAAAAATAAGTTCGAGCCAGATTACAAAAAGCCTAAAATGTCAAAATTAGAATTTTATACTTAATAATAATAGCCAACATTTTTATATAGCACCTACTATGTGCCAGGCTACTATGTTCTAAGTGTTTTATACATATTATCTCATTTGATGCTTACAACAACCCTGGGAGGGAAGTACTATTATAGTTCCCATTTTTCAGTTAGGAAAACTGAGGCAGAGAATGGTTAGGTGACTTCCTCAAGGTCACACAGCTAAGTAAATGTCTAAGGCCATATTTGAACTCTTCCAGACTCTAGGCCTAACTCTCTATCCACTGCACCATCTAGTTGCCTCTTTATTTTGCAGTTAATACAGAGCTAATACAGTTTTTTAAGTAGAAGATTGACATGATCCAAAATATTAGAAAGATTATACAGGCAGTGATGTGAAGGAAGGATGCATTAGTGAGGGAATAGGTTGGAGGCATTAAGACCAATCATTAAGGCAATACTAAGAGGCAAAATGTTATGAAGGACAAAAGTAGACATATTGTAGTAGAAATGGAAAGGAAAGCATAGATAAAAAAAAAACAGCCTAAGCTGATTTGGATATGGGAAATGAAAGAAAGGGAAGAGTCAAAAGATGACTTTGAGATTATGAGACTTGGTCCCAGGAAGGATGATTAAGCCTTAAATAAAAAGAGCAATAGTAGGGGCAGGGATGAGTGTTGAGGGTAAGATGGTAAGTTCAGTTTTGGTAATATTGAGATGCTGGTGAGACGTTCAGATGGTAATATCTAGCAGGCAGCTGGAAACAAAAAAAAATTAGCTCTAGAGAGGTAATTCTTAGTCTTTTGTGTGCATCATGGGCCCCTTCTAAGAATAACATTTAAATGGTTAAATTAAAACACAGATTACAAAAGGAAACCAATTACGTAGAAATAAAGATATAAAAATACATATTTTTAAACTCAAGTTCACAGACAACAGGTCAAGAATTCCTGCTCTAAGGCAAGGAATTTTTCTACCTCCAACAGCATTTGTAGTAGAGTAAAAAGAACATAAAATTTAAAGTCAGTAAATCTGGGCTTAAATAATGGCTCTGTTGCTGTGTTACACTGTTAAGAGAACTCAGCATGCTTTTAGTTAAATCAAATAAGTTCTTTACGTTTCGGTTTCCTCCTCTCTAACATAAGAGTTGGCTGGTCTTTAGAACCTCCTAGCACTAGATGTTATGATGATCCTGAGTTATATATGAGGTCCACAGTTCAGGTGCTGCCATTCAGATCAATAACCCTGACTCATTCAGTCCTGATATTCAGACACTCAAATGGATCTGGGATCTCTTCAACTGAGTCTTTTTTCCATTATATGGATTGCAACCCATCTGTGCTTGTCCATCTTCTGCAACTCAAGACTCAATTCAAATCTCACTCTATGTAGGATGCCTTTCCTGGTTCCACCAACTGAGAGTGATTCCCTTCCATCTACTCTGTGTGTGTATGTGTGTGTGTGTGTGTGTGTGTGTGTATCTTATCCATACGTAGTTGTTTGCACGTTGTCTCTTCCATTAGAATGTGAGCTCCTTGAGGGTAGAGTCCATGTTTTTACATTTCTTTGTATTCCCGCACTTGGCACAGTGCCTGGTACATCATTGGTGCTTAAAAACAGAACTATTCTAGACATCCTCTGAGTCTCCCCTAATTAGGAACACAGGCCATACTGTTCTTAAGATTCAGTCTAAACAGTGGGAAGCTAAATATCATTACACTTACAATCAATCATTGAATGATTCCAATAATGAAATCTAGAAAATGCTTATTAATTATTATCCATATTCAACTCTAAGTCCATTATAGAGAGTCCATCCAACTTTTTGTAGGCCTTCTTCATTTTCTCTTGTCATTGTGAAGGGATGAGTGAGGCACTTTGGCTGTTCACCTGTCATCCCTTCTCTTTGCCATGTGATGAGCTCATCTTCTAGGGTCCCTTCCAAATCTAAATCTATAATTGATCCTATGACCTTTATTCAAATTCATGTGGTCTTAGGTATGTTACTTCCTTTCTAGGACCCAGTTTCCTCATCTATAAAATGCAAGAGTCATACTAGAAAGTCAATATGGCAAAGTGGTAAATACTGGACTTCCATCATGACTCTGAAACTTATTAATTATGTGACCACAGGCAAGTCACTTAACCTCTGTTACCTCAGTCTCCTCACCTGTAAAATGAGGAAAATAATAGCACTTAACTCGAAAATTTATGAGGATTAAATGATATAATGTATATAGTGTTTTGCCAGCTTTGAAGTGCTATATAAATATCAGCTGTTATTTTTATTAGATTATCTCCAACGTACCTTCAAGGGCTAAAATAAGGACAAAAATACCGGCAGTACTTTCCTAACAGGGTTGTTTTCAGGAATTAATGAGATAATGTATGTCAAGTATTTTGTATACTTTAAAACACCATATAAATGTAGGTTAATAATAAATCCTATCGTCCCATAAATTGTATATGAGAATGGGAGTTTTGACGATTAAGGTACCCTTTTCAGAAGGAGGTCACATTCCAAGCCCTTTCCCAGCTTAACCATTAAAACAGAACTATTCCAGATGTCCTCTGAGGCTCCCCTAATTAGTAACACAGGTCATACTTCCAGTAAGATTCAGGCTAAAAAGTGGGAAGCTAAACGTCATTACTTAGAATCACAGAATGATTCTGATAATGAAACTAGCATGTTGGAGGTCACGTAGGCCCTCCCTGTGCTCGCTTTATAATTTTACATTTATAAAGTAACACCTCAGAAAGGTCTGCTGCATCTAGGGCAGTATGAAATAAACAAGAAATTTCACAGTAACAAAGTCAAGATGGTCTTCTGGCTCCCTCCCCCCCGCACCCCAAAACACAGGAAGATACCTTTTTTCACACATTCATTGTATTAAACATACTATGTTTCTAAAATCCTTAGTATATAAACAACACACAGAAATTTCAAAATTGGCCAAACTCTAGGAAGCTGACATTTACCATTCAAAAAACGAAAACGTTTTCCTCCCTCTTTACTCTCTTCCCACTATCATGGCCCCTATCCAAGGTCAAGTTTAAAATGGCAAATAAGCTGCCAGTATTGTAGCATGGCAACAGTGAGCAGTATATGGTAGTTAAATGTCTGGTGGAATAGTTTTTGTCACCACCATCCCACGTGTTTAAAGTATCTGGGCCAAAAATGATGGGAAATATTCATAACACTCCATCAAAATCCTGCAGAGGCAAGCTGTGGGATGTGTGTGAAGGCTGTTGTGTGTGATGAAGCAGAGTCTTATAGCCTTCCCTGATACCAAGGACAG